CTCCAAACAAAGCCCGATGATTTCACTGGAAATTCCCACAGAACCAGGGCACCTTCGCAAAGCTCGGGGGACCACAGCAGCAACACCCCTGGGGGGTGAAGGGAGAGTTTCCATTTGGCGCGTTGAAGCCATTTTTAATTGCCGTGTAAACTTCCAGCGCCCGGACAGTTTCACTAAGTCGTCCTGGCCGGGGGTTTGGGGCACTCACCTTCCTCTCCGGCTTCTGAATTTCCGGCAGGATGACACAGAAGGGCTTGATGACTTCCAGAAATTTGACTTTGATGGGAGAAACAAAACCAGAGTTAGGGCACAGTGAGCCCTCCCGCCCTCCCCTACCCGGGGAGCCCTCCGCCCAGGGCGCGCTGGAGCAGGCCGAGCAGGGGGCGCGCGGGGACCCCGGGAGGGCCGGCGCGCGCCCCGTTCCGCCGCGACCCGGCAGGCCTGGAGGGTGCGCGCCCGTCCGGAACGGAGACGGGCTGGGGAACCCGATCCGTCCCGCCGTCGCCGGGGCGACCCCCAGGCACTCACTCGCCATGACGGCGGCTGCTCGGGCTCCCGGTGCCGCTCCGGCTCCGCTCCGCTCCGAGTGAGGCGACGCTGCCCGTGGCCCAGCCTGCTCCGGAGCGCAGCCGCTCCGCCGAGAGACACGTCAGTGCTAGCACCGAGGTGAGCAGCGCGGCGCCGGGCGGGGCGGGCCGGGGGCGGGCCGGGCAGCCGGTCAGTGTCCTACCTCTGCCCCCGTTAGAGGCTGAGGCGGGCAAGGGAGAGGGAGACGGCCTGGCTGCTCCCGTGCCGCAGTTTCCCTGGCACGCTTGCCCCTGGCTGCCCTCCAGGGTCCTGCAGCTCAACGGCGCCCCACAGGCCCTGGCCTTCTGTAGCAACGCTGGAGACCTGGTGCTGGCCATCGGGTCCCGCCTCTGCCTGGTGTCCCACCAGCTCTACCTGCCGGCGTCCTACCTGGTGAAGGTGCTATGAGCACAGGGTGGGCAGGGTCGGGCAGGGTGATGCCGCAGCAGCAAGGGAACCTCCAGGCCTGGCGCTAGGCTGCTCTCCCCTCTCAGAAGCTGCACCAGAAAGTGTCTGAAGCGGTGGATGACCCTCCACTGCCGCTGACCGACCAGGAGTCGCTGCCCCCCGCCCAGCTGCAGAAGCTCACCCACCCGCATGGGGTGGCCAGCCTCAGGTCCGCCCGCAGGCCTGCCCATCTCTCCTGGAGCTGCCCGCTCTCTTGGGCTCACCCTGGCTGCGTCAGGCACTGGATCCTGGCCCCTCTGGGCGCCACGCCACACCAGCCCTGGCAGCCCACTCCCGGCTGTGCGCCAGGCCCTGCCACGAGCCTGGCCACCCCAGCCCTGGGCCCAGCTCTGCCCGCTCCACTAGCCCGTCACCCACCTCTGCTCCTCTTCGTCCGTCCCCAGCCCAGCCGTGCCCCTGGCCCATCAACAGATGGCTCCCTGCTGCCAGCTGGCGCTGGGGCAGGTGGGTGAAGGCCCAGGCCCTCCCTCGGGTCCAGGTCCCTGCACTGGTCTGGGTGGTACTCTGCCAGCATGAAGGAAGAATTGGCTGACCCCGACCCCACCCCACCCCAGGACCTGAAGGACCTCATCGCCCGGGACCAGGACCTCCAGCAGCTGAGATGGGGCCTGCTGGCCCCCAAGGCCCAGCGCCCGCCCTCAGGGGAGCGGCTCCAAGAAGCTTTTGAAAACTACCTGCGCCTGATCTATGGCCCCTGCCTGCTGGTGGGCGTGGGGGCTGCTCCCACTCCCCCAACCGACCCTTCCCCTCCCCTGGGCCACTGACCCCTGGAGGCCTCTCCCTGCCACCCCTGCAGGGCCTGCATGCTGGCGGGGAGCCACCGCAGGACAGCTCCATGGCCTTCGCAGGGGAGGTGGGGGCCCTGTCCAGAGTTGCCCCTGGTCTCAGGCAGACGGGGTTCTTCCCTGAAGAGAGGGCAGTGCCAACAGACTGGCCCCCCCAAGCCCCTGGAGCCCTGTGCAAGCGCCTGGTTCACCTGCCTGGAGTCCTACAGCTCAGCCCACCCACGTACCAACCGGTGCACAGTCAGGCCTCCCAGGTGAGGCTGCGGGCCCACTCGGTACCACCTGACTTCTCCCCGCCCTGCCGCGGGCCCCGCCCACCCCAGCTTCTCCCT